TTTAGTTGATTCCATAAATAAGATTTGAATATGTAGTTGATTCCATAAATAAGATTTGAATATGTAGTTGATTCATCTTGTTGTTTGCGCTCACATGCTTGGTAGTTTATGTTCGTGTTTGATAATGGCTTATATCCTACAACCATATCGACTACAATAGTAAGAGTTTTATCAATACCTTGTTCCTCATGGATGCTAAATTGGTTGTCTTCTTCTATAATGGCTTTCTTCAATCATGACATCACTTTGAATTGGCAATTCAACTTCCTTTTCTTCAAATTTTTCCTCCATCTTTGTTAGGCATATGGAATTATCAAATAATTTTTCCTTCACTACTTTTTCTTTGAAAATAATATTTTCCACTATTAAAAGATACAAATCATATTCAAACGAAAACTATAGCTTTACAATAATTTTCTTCATCCTACGCCAAGGTCGGATATGATTCTTTCCTTCTTTCTTCCGTGCCTTTTGCAAACTATCCTACCAAAAAGCAATATTTTCCTTTAGACAAAAAGCAACTATCTTGACCATGTTCTCCACTAGAATAATTATTTCTTACAAGAATTGCTCTACAACTGAAACTTTATCAAGAAAATCGTCTATGCATTCACCACCCTCAAAACGAGGAATCTTCCCAACATCAAGTTGATGAGTTTGGCTTGAGGCAAATCCTTCATCGCATTCCCCATCAACAAAAGATTGTCTACAATCACCATAGAAGATCTTTGGTGTGCCTCAAATAGTCTTCCTCCCACAATCAACGTTGAAGAGACTTTTGCATCTTCCAATATCGATTGCCAATAGAATAGGGCAAATCCCTGCTCTAATACCAATTGATGCAGCACGATGCTTAAAGAATTACAAGCGTAAATCCTTGAAGAACCAAAAATCTGAAATCCACCAATTTTTTTAATCCCAAAGTTTGTGCTTGATTAATTGATTGAAGATGAGATTACAATGGGAACAACCAATGGCTTAAATAAAGAGATTACAACTCCCTAGAACAACTCAAAGGTCTTAGGTAATTAAACGACATTAATCGGAAAGCAACCGAAAAGATTGAAATTTATTACAAACTTTATTTTGTATTTTTGGAAGCCAAAACCATCATTTTTTGCCTTAAACTTTACCGGCTCATGGTATACGATGAGTTTTGTTCTGCTCACAATTCTCTTTATGCAAGGCTGACATATTATACGTCCAATTCTGACACCAAAATTTTTTTTGCTGCCTTTTCTGTAACTATATCAATTGAATCCAATATTTTTCAACTTTAATTCTTCTTTTCCGTAATTTAAAACATTTTATAGAGATGCTACTGTGAACACGGAATTTTCCTGCGATGAACGAGACAAGAAACACGTGTACAAAATAATATTTGTATTGATGATTTAGGGGTTACAATCTCTTCTACAAATTTAGCCTCTGATTCTATCTTTGCAATGGGTGGATTTGATGTTGTTGATCCAAAGGGCCGTCGGGGCTTGATCTTGGGATAAACAGTTGTGCAGATTTGTTGACGTCGTGGATCCAAAGGGCCGTCGGGGCTTGATCTAGGGATGAACGAATGATGAACGATGGACACTTTCTTCAAGGGCCGTCGGGGCTTGATCTTGAATAGGTGAATGGTCTTCAAGGGCCGTCGGGGCTTGATCTTGAAGGAGGATTTGACGAAGAACGAAGAGAGCTTTCTTGATCTTTCGGGAATTTGCTTGAGAGCTTTAGAGTTTCAAAGCTTCAAGGTTTTAGTGTAATGTGAATTGGTTATGAATTGGTGTCCTTCAAATGAATGCCTTGGCCTTCTATTTATAGAATTCCAAAACTTGATTTTTTTGGATTTAAATAATTAGATGGAATAAATCATCTCTGCCAGGTGTTGACACGTGTCCTGTTTGATGACTTTTCCGATTTATTTTGATTTTTCGTTTAGTCACATGCTATGTGTAAAATTTATGTGACACATAAACATTGAAATTTTAATTTTTTATCAACATTTATTTTACCAAAATTTCGATGTCTACAAATGCCCCCACTTCAAGGCGCGTCGTATACATGTGCTTGTCACGTGTAGAAGATGCGTTTTGAAGTCCCTTGTTGTAGATGTTGATCCAAGGGCCATTCGAGGCTTGATCTTGAATTGGGCTGGAGATTTCTTCAAGGGCCGTTGAGGCTTGTTCTTGAACTTTCATTTGAAATTTCTTCAAGGGCCGTTGAGGCTTGATCTTGAAGGTTGAAATTGGACCACAAGGAGCTTCATGTGGTAGATGATCTTTTGGTTTGGTAGTGGGTGAATCGGCACGTATTTTGTTGCGCTTATTGACTTTCCACAGCATTGATCTTGAACTGGTTCGGAGGATTTTCTGGTTTCCTCCAATTGTTGACTTTCCACAGCTTCGATCTTGAACTGGTTCGGAGGACTTTTTTTTTTGTTTCCTCCAATTGTTGACTTTCCACAGGCCATTAGTTCTTAAATTACCTGTAGGAAGTTCTTTAATACCTGGCAGCAGTAGCGGCAACCTTTTGCCTTTAAATGGTCATTCAGAGCATCACTTTTCAGCCACTCATTCGTGGTTGGCAGCTTCAGTGTAAAGAGCCAACACCATATCAACTGTTTTGAAATATTTGCGGAGGAAACTCGAGATCCGTCAACAGTTGAAGATGAGTACCCGGGAGCAACGCTAGGTGAGCAACCAGGCAAAGGTTCCTGGCAATCAGTTCCTGATCGGACGTTTAATTTCAGGTTCCGACTGATTGCTTCCTTTCTCCTTGTTCTGCAAGCAAGAACAAGGGCAAAGGAAATGATAGGGAAAAAGCATGATATGAGATACCTTTGCTTTCAACCCCGATGATATGAGATACTTTTGCTTTTGAAGAATTAGCGGATGATCAACACATGTGTTTGTTGAGCTTGTCTCCACATGCTTCGATGCATCATTTTCATTCGCCTCTTCTGTTCTCCTGGCCGATGTGGTATTTTCTCTAGAAGCATAAGATGTTGAGATAATGGGTACTTCGAGAGCAGTGCTAGGTGAGCAATCAGGAAAGATTCCAAGCAGTCGGTTCCTTACCAGGAGCTTGAGTGGAGGTTCCGACATATTGCTTTTTTTATCCTTGTCATAGTAGTGAAGAGGGAGGACAAAGAAAAGGATAGGGTGAAAGCATGCTATGAGATACTCTTGCTTTCAACCCCAGTGATATGAGATACCTTTGCTTTGATGTGATTTGGCTGAGGAAGCGTTTCCAGGGAGGCAGAAAAAATTGAGTTTTGGTTGCAGATGCCTTCGGCAAGGAAGAAGAGTCAGGGTGGATGTGTGTCTTGCTAGAGGATGAAACTCGAATTATATGGTGAGCTCCCAACAGCAAGTGGCAGGGTGGATGTGCCTTGTCTCCCATGCTTTGTCAGCCAACAGTCGGGTAGGTGAGTATGATGGACTCCACACGTTTTCAACCTTGTCAGTGATCTCTGGCAAAGTTGCACGTGATAGCCGAAAGCTGAAACTGCGTCTGAAAAGTGTTGACGGATTTTACGCAGGAAAATCCGGGTTTTGAAATTCGAAGAGTGGCGTTTCTTTAATTTTTTTTTTTTTTTTTTTTTTTTTTTGAACAAGTGGTTGTGTTGCCTCTTCTTTTTAAAGAGGTGTCAATCATTTTCAACCTGCACGCTTTGAAGATTGCTCGCCTCTGAAAATCGTTCTTGCTGTATTTCAGAGATTTTTTTTTTTTATCCACTCCAACCCTTTTCTTTTAACATCTTTTTGGAAATGGCTAACTCATCTAACATTTGTTTAGATTTGAGTCTTAGCAGTGGCGCAGGTGCACCGAGTCAGGGTGATATATGGCGCCCGTCCTTCTCATCTTCTAATGACCCCCTTACAGTTGACGACTCTATAATGAGGGACGCAGCAACAGCTATGGTTGTAGCTAGAAACCTTATCACTCCTGAAGATAATAGGATGCTTTCACGACGGTCCGATGAATTAGCTGTTCGAGAGTCCCATGCTCTCAGTGTTCAGTGTGCGAACTCTGTTTCCAACCTGGGCCAACTCTTACTTGTTCGAACTCGCCAGGTTGAATCATTGACAGCTGAGGCGGTAGTCCTTAATCAAGTGATCAGACAGCTGAAGTATGAGAATAGAGAATTGCAGGTGCTTGCAAATAATTATTCGACGAGCATGAAGAGGAAGTTTGATCAGTTGCTAGACTCCGGAGGTCGGATTCAAAGTGACAATCGGAGATTTGTGGATGTATTCCAGAGGGACCTTTTGCCTTCGTCATCTGAAGTTCGACCAAGTATTGAGGTTCCGAATAATCCATCCCCAACGCCTCCCTCTTCTAGGGTTCCGCCGAGTATTAAGGCTTCAAGTACCGAGGCTTCACATAAGTCGCCGAGTACCAAGGTTTCAAGTACTGAGGCTTCACATAAGTCGCCGAGTACTAAGGCTTCAAGTACTGAGGCTTCTCATGAGTGACATTCGTGAAGGTTTTTTTTTTTTTTTTTTTTTTTTTTTTAGAGATATCAATGGACATGCTTTACTTTATTCAGTATGTTGTGCTAAAACATAGATCTGACTAATGCGCACTATTCTTTTACTCCCTTTTTTTTTTTTTTAGACGGAAATTTGTCGTCTTCCCCCTGCTTTCTTCCTTTCAATTATTCTATCTCCACCACCTATTTCGTTTTTTTTTCATACTTGCTAATAGTAGCATACACCATGACCTGTCTTTTCTTGCTTTTTATCATTTCCTTTGGATGGTGCCTGTCAATCTGTCAATCACTTTCTTTCTTTGCTTTCGGTGGCTGGTCACCATTTGAAAACTTTATTTTTTTTTTCTTTATATATGGTGCTTTGTAGGGATGGAACTCGACGGACGGTGAGCTGCAGTCGAGGCTTCATGACCGGCTAGTCGTTTGACGGCGGTTTATTGAAGTTCTTCGATGTTGTTTGTCACGGACGGAGAGAAGGCCTTTGAGTGTGAGTTGACAAACTTTGGTTTTGTCAATCACATTCAAAAGCAGCAGCCATGGTGGAGAAGAGCTGCAGGTGGTGCGAATTGTTGATGACGGCAGATGTGTTACAGCTCAACCCTTTGAAGGCATGCTGGAGGAATAAGAGAAGGCAATCGCCAGCCAATTCTTTTGTCGAATTGCTAGTTGGAAGAGACAATGCTTCTGAAGGGTCGAATCTGATTGGGAGATTACGAGAGCAAGCACCAAAGGAGATGGGACAGATGTGCCAATTGACGGCACCAGCTCTTCCATTGAACACATTATGTGCACCTGCCCTCCTTTTCGCCGCCAAGTACTGAGCGTCAATGTCAAGATCCACTTCTTGCGCAGTTGCTTGGAAGTTGGGGTTACTCTGTGCATCAATTTCTAGAGCCTTGCTGAGATCTTCGGCAGATAACTGCGAGAGTGCGGTCCCGAGTTTTCTTTTATCATCCGAAGACATTTTCCTGCACTTCTGAACCACTGTTTGTCTGAGGTTCCTCAAATACACATCAATTTCAAAAAGCTCACTGCTTAGACCGTTAGCCGTGTTGGCAAATGCAGCATCCTGAGATAGTTGCATGTTTCGCCGTGCCTCTGCTTCCTCGTCTGCTCGTCTTGTTTCCTCTTCAACAACTTTAGGCAGAAGCTTTAGCCATTTTTTTTTTTCGAAATTTTGCAACAACGATTGGGCCATCACATAGACATCCTCACCTTCATCATTATATTTCATTGCATTCTTGAAAACCAGCCTCACATCAGCATATATCTCTCCGACATTCTTATACTCACTACCATCCTTGGCTTCCATTCTATTTTTTTTTTTTTTTTTTATGGTACCAAGGTCCATGGGCTTCTCAATGACTTGATAATAGTCATGCAATCCCAGACCTTCAACATCTACAGGAACCATAAAGGGCCACGCCCAGTCATGCTTAGTGATCTGACAGAACATTACAGAAAATTGGCGCATAAGCTCTTGCATTCTCTTTGTAGCAGCGGCTTCCCTACGTGATGCATCTTGCTGCTGCTTCTTAGAAGCAGTTAACTGTTTATCCTTCACGATTGCAACACCTTTTGAAGTGGGTAGATGCGGATTTCCCGTAGTCAAGTAAAACCGTTCCACCTCAGCGGCAGAGACGAAGGGGATGAAGTTGTCGGTTCGTCTTTGAGGATTTTGGATATGTTGAACTCGGCATAGTTGTTGGACTGGCCGGCCGGGTCGGCGTCTTTTTGGTTGGTTTCGGGGGTGTCTTCCACGAGCACTCGGTCGGGGACGATTCCGCGTTGCAAAAGCGGACCCGGGCGACTCGGATGACTCAGTGGATTTCCGAAAAGTAGGAGCGGGAGGAGGCCTTGGGAGCAGAGAGGACGGACCTCGTAGCTCTGGAAGCGGATCTGCAAATCTGAGACCTCATCTTCTCAGTTCAGTTCTGATCAGAGAGAGAATCAGAGAGAGGGAGAGGTGAGAGAGGGCGGGTTGGTGAACCGGTTAGAGAAAAGTATGAGCTTTTGGAGCTTGTTGCCGTCGCAGAGATTTGGTGGGATCGGGCCGGAGAGAAAGTTCCGGGAGAGGTCGAGGTTCAGCGACGGAGGAGGCGGGCTTCGCCGATGTTGAGGAGGACGAAGGCAGAGCTTCTCAGGATCGAACAGTATCTCGCCGTTGTAGGTGACAATAGCATCAGGAGGTCGCCGACAGTCCTCGCGCTTCAGGACCGACGAGATCCGCTTCTCGATCTTTAGAGTGGAGAGAGATGCAATGGGCGGAGCTGGAGCATCCTCGCTGAGCAGAAGAAGACAAGCTGGGGTTTGGGCCTGTAATTGTTGCTGGGCTCATTGGTTTTGGAGAGATGGCTTGTCAGGTTGAGAGAGAGAACCGGGCCTGGGCTGGTGCCCTTTGTTGCTGCTGGGCCTAGAGATATATATATACCTTTTTTTTTTTTTTTTTTTTTTTTTTTTAAATACATAAACATATGTATTCATCATTTTTTTTTTAATAAAATTGACTTTCTTTAATAAAACATTTATTTACATTTTGATGTGACTGAACTTGAAATTTTGAATATTCAGGCTGCCTACGTACCCTTCCAAAGAAAGAGATCAAGTCAAAACGTAGTTCAAATCCATTTTTTTTTTCTGATGATTTTGATGATGATTTTGATGATGATTTTGCCGTACACAGTTTATGCTCTTGCGGGCCAGGAGCTTTGGTGTTGCCTTTTATGCTCGTGCAGACCAGGAACGGTTGGTGTTGCCTTTTATGCTCGTGCAGACCAGGAGCGTTGTGCCATGCAGTTTAGGCTCGTGCCGGCGAAGAGCTTGCGTTCATGCAGTTTAGGCTCGTGCGAACAAGGAGCTTGCGTTCATGCAGTTTAGGCTCGTGCGAACAAGGAGCTTTGGTTCGTCAAGCTATCTGAGAGAGTCGTTCCTCGCAATCTTCATAGCAAGGAGCCTTGACTGAGTAGTTGAAGAAGTCTTCTGGGAAGATGTCACGCATCGTGATGGGGACGGATGATCTTCGTGTCAAAGTTTCATTATCTCCAACACTTTCACATTGTTCTGGAGGTGAACAAGAGCTACTTTGCCCCATTTCCCATTGGTGAACTTGTGGAGAAGACATATGCTTCTTGTGCAGTTTCTTTGGAGTGACATAAGTCCATCTTTCAACTTCACTCAGCTTGACTGGCATGTTTTTGGAACATGCCCCCAGCGATTGAGGTGAAGATTTTAGGTTGACAGAGCCGGAAGTGACGTCTTCTTCCAGGATTTCGTCTTCTTTGTCTTCTTGGGCTTTCTCTTCAGTGCAGTCATCTTGGGTTTGTTGCCGTGAAGATTGGCCGGTGTAGATGATGGTGCGCCTCCTTACCTTCAGTGGTCTTTTTGTGTCGACTTCCAAAGTTGCTTGGCGCTTCATCCTTGAAGGAATCGAGCTTCGAATATCGCCTTTTTCTACCAGCCTGTCGAGCTTTTCTTCCTTTGACCTTGTTTCCCTATTTCCAGAAAACTTCATGTTGTCTTCAAGTCTTTCCAAAGCTGATTGACGAGGAGGAGAGCTAGCCGTGCCGCTTTGTTTCTTGGGCTTTGATAACCTTTCAAAGACTGATCTTTGCGGTGTTGGCGTCTCAAGCCTTTTGAAGACAGAAGTTTGGTCTCGACCACTGATGCGATCAAGTGCTGCAATTCTAGGTTTTGAATAATTCAGTCTTTCGAAGACTGAAGTTCGAGGGGCAGGTTTAGGCTCCTCTTTTGGCCTTGTGGCTTGTGGTCTTGGCTTCCTCGTTTTTTTGTAGGTCACCGATGTCCGCCATTTCTTATCACCAGTAGATGCATCTTGGTTGCTTGCCCCCGGTGATGGTTGTGTAGGAGGTGCCATGTGACTTGAACATTGACGGGAATGATCATGCATGCTTCGGAGATGCACAGGATCGAGTGATTCAAACACGATAGTAGTAGTGTGTGCCGCCACCGTGTCTTCGAGGTCAAGCTCGATTTCCCCTTGCTGTGCTAGCTTCAGGATGAGATCTTTCAGTACGAAGCACTTTTCCGTTGGATGACTGATGAAGCGGTGGAATTTACAGTATCTTGGGTTGTCGGTACGATTCATCTCTTCCGGCCGTCTGCACTCAGGCAAACTGATCACCTTCTTGTCCAACAGGTCATCAAGCATGGCAACTACATCAGAGTCGGGGAATGGATAAATCTTCTCCTCAAGCTCCTTCAAAGTGCGTCTACGCATCTCTTGATCACGAAAAGCTTCGGTTTGAATCGCCTTGCCTCGTGTGGAGATTTTGACAGGAGCTGTGTTGACTGTCATTGCTTCTTTGGTGGATTTCCACGTAGCCTTCTCCACCTTTGTCTCAAGAACTTTGTCGTTCTTGTAGTTGGCGATTGGTTCCTTCTTCCCATGATGGGCGATGCTCAACTCCATGTCATGGGCGCAGGTGGCCAATTCCTCGAAGGTCCGTGGTTTAATGCCTTGAAGGATGTATTGCAAACCCCATTGCATGCCTTGGATGCACATCTCGATTGAAGAGGTTTCCGAGAGCCTGTCTTTACAGTCGAGGCTTAGAGTGCGCCATCTGTTGATGTAGTCAATGACTGGCTCGTCCTTCCACTGCTTTGTGCTCGTTAGCTCTAGCATGCTCACAGTGCGACGGGTGCTGTAGAAGCGGTTGAGGAATTCCCGCTCTAATTGCTCCCAGTTGTTGATGGACTCAGGCTCTAGGTCCGTGTACCACTCAAAGGCATTTCCTTTCAGCGAGCGCACAAACTGCTTGGCGAGGTAGTCTCCCTCCGTCCCCGCGTTGTTGCAAGTTTCGACGAAATGTGCAACGTGCTGCTTTGGGTTTCCTTTTCCATCAAACTGCATGAACTTTGGTGGTTGATAACCCCTTGGCATCCTTAGGGCATCAATCTTCTTGGAATAGGGCTTCGAGTAGAACAAGGAGGTATGTGAGCTCCCTTCGTACTGTGCCTTGATGGTGTTGGTGATCATCTCCTGCAGCTGCTGGATAGAAAGAGATCCCATGAGTGCCGCTGCTTGGTCTGGCTCCGGCTTCCCATCGATTTTCTTCATCGGGGGTTCTTCGTCTCCACCAGCTCCTCCCTTTAGTGGATCATCCTCTGGGTCGGGTTTATCGCCGTCCTGCACCTCCAGTCGGTTGACTAGTGCTGCAATCTGCAAGTCTTTTTTCTTCCACAGTTCGGGTTAGCCTTGCGATTGCTTCATTCATTTGAGCCAGCTGCTCATCGATTGAAGTTGCTCCAATGGTCATGACTTGCATGGCTAAACTGTCGCTTGAATCGGCATCGGAGAGCATGGATTCGGAGTATTTCCTTGGGCTTTTCCCCCTTGGTGCCCTTAGTGAGGCTAAGGTGATCAAAGGCTCGTGCCTTGGGTGTTTTTGTTCCCTTGGCAGAGTTGATGCAGAGGTGGAAGATGCGGCAGAAAGAGCTCTTGCCTTGCTTCGAGTTATGATGCCCGAAGTGACACCGCCTACGGTGATAACGTTCTTGTTCCTTGCATTGGCCGCGAGAATAACTTGAGCCTTCTTTGATGCCATTTGTGCTTTTTGCGGATTCAAAGATAGAGATGAGAGGTAGAGATGATCCCACCGGGCGTGCCAAATTTGTGAACACGGAATTTTCCTGCGATGAACGAGACAAGAAACACGTGTACAAAATAATATTTGTATTGATGATTTAGGGGTTACAATCTCTTCTACAAATTTAGCCTCTGATTCTATCTTTGCAATGGGTGGATTTGATGTTGTTGATCCAAAGGGCCGTCGGGGCTTGATCTTGGGATAAACAGTTGTGCAGATTTGTTGACGTCGTGGATCCAAAGGGCCGTCGGGGCTTGATCTAGGGATGAACGAATGATGAACGATGGACACTTTCTTCAAGGGCCGTCGGGGCTTGATCTTGAATAGGTGAATGGTCTTCAAGGGCCGTCGGGGCTTGATCTTGAAGGAGGATTTGACGAAGAACGAAGAGAGCTTTCTTGATCTTTCGGGAATTTGCTTGAGAGCTTTAGAGTTTCAAAGCTTCAAGGTTTTAGTGTAATGTGAATTGGTTATGAATTGGTGTCCTTCAAATGAATGCCTTGGCCTTCTATTTATAGAATTCCAAAACTTGATTTTTTTGGATTTAAATAATTAGATGGAATAAATCATCTCTGCCAGGTGTTGACACGTGTCCTGTTTGATGACTTTTCCGATTTATTTTGATTTTTCGTTTAGTCACATGCTATGTGTAAAATTTATGTGACACATAAACATTGAAATTTTAATTTTTGATCAACATTTATTTTACCAAAATTTCGATGTCTACAGCTACCACATATATAGAATCATTGTAAGTTATATAGTTGCACCAACTATGAAAATCACCCCCAATTTTTTCCGCGAAAAGGTTTCATCTTAATCAAGTAAATTTAAATAAACAAAATAAATACAAAAATAAACAGATTCATGCTGATCAAGGAAACCTGTCACACAGATCATATAATATACATGTGGTAAATTGGTAATGGTACGGGTTCCACATATCATAGCAATTAGCACGAGTGAAAATTATTAGAACCTGGGAATAGGAGCATATGTCAGTAATATATTTATAAAGTTTGA